CAGACACGGATCGTGCCCAACGGGAGGTCCCAGAATGGGATGGGTTGGAAGGAATCTTAAAGACCCCCCCTTTGCCACGGGCAGGGACAGCCTCCGCTAGCCCAGGCTGCGCCAAGCCCCATCCAACCTGGCCTGGAACACTCCCAGGGATGGGGCAGACACAGACGCTCTTGGGAACCTGTGGTGCCTCACAGGGAGGAATTCCTTCTCAATATCCCTTCTAACCCTGCCCTCTGGCAGCAGGAGGCCATTCCCCCTTGTCCTGTTCCTCCAGGCCCTTGTCCCAAGTCCCTCTGCAGCTCTCTTGGAGCCCCATTAGGCACTGGAAGTGGCTCTCAGGTGACTCTGGAGCCTTCTCTTCTCCAGGCTGCACACTCCCAGCTCTCCCAGCCTGTCTCAGAGCAGAGGAGTTCCAGCCCTCTGAGCATCTCCATGGCCTCCTCTGGACTTGATGCAAGCAGTGATATGCTTGGTGAAATGAGGGCAATGCCTGGTGTGATCAGCGACATGCCCAGAGCAGTTAGGGAAATGCACACTGCAACCGTTAAAATGCATCTAATGATGAAAGAGATGTGCTCTGAGCCACCAAGAAATAAACTCATCGTGCAATTACGGATATGCCCAGTGCCATAAACACTGTGCCAGAGCAATTCTGGAACTGCCTGGCACAATTAGCAACATGCACAATGTAATCAGTGATGTGGATGGTGTGATTAGAGACAGGTACGGTGTGGTTAGTAGCATGTATGGAGTGATAAGTGACATATACAGTGCAATTAGTGACATGCACAGTGCACTTAGTGACAGTAAGTGCACTGTGCTGTAATTAATGACATGTATGGTATCACTAGCGACATGTATGGCATCACAAGCAACATGTATGGTGCAACTAGTGACACATGGTGCGATACATGGAAAGGGCTCTGTCATTAAGGAAATGCACAGAGCAATTAGCAAAATGCCTGGGGTGATTAATGACACACCCTGTGCCACTAGCGACAAATCCCGTGTGCACAGAGCACTCTGCGACGAGCTGTGTGCGAGGCACCCTGTGGAGCACAGGGGCTCCTGGCAAACCCCCATGCCTTTCCAGACCAAAAGCCAGATCCCTGTGTTTCTCAGTTTTTGCTAAGAACCTTTACTGGCCAAGCCCTGGAGCAAGCTAGCACTGAGGCCTGGCGAGACTGGGTTGTCCAATTTGGTTAGAATTGCCTCCAAAAAGCGACTGGCCTTGGCTCTGCTGGCCATACCTTCATGGGAGCAGTTGTTGTTGAAGGCAGGGGAGAAAGCACACAGCTCCCGCAGCAGGATGGGCTCTGTACCCCCGCCACCACCTTCGCCTTCAGCATCAGCCTCGGTTTCCTCCTCCTCTTCCTCTTCCTCCTCCTCCTCACCCTCAGGGTCAGCCTCGGGGTCAGGTGAACTCTGCATCAGCTCCTCCAGCTCCTCGATGACCTGCAGGGCATCAGTGTCCTCCACCTGCAACCTACCTCCACCTTGCATCTGCACCCTGCATCCTTGTCCTGCACCTGCACACCACAACCCTATCCTGCAGCCTCACCTGCACTCTGCATCCTTGTCCTGCACCCACACCTGCTCCTGCACCTTGAATCCCTGTCCTGTACCTCCATTTGCAACCCACTTCCTCATTCCTGCACCTGTATCCTCCATCTGTATCAGCATCCCACATCCTGCACTTGCACTCTCCATCCTTATCAGCATCCTGCATCCTCTATACTCCCCTTCATTCTGCTCCCTACATCCTGCATCTGCACCTGTATTTACACCTGTCTGTACCCCAGATCCTCCATTTGCATCCTGCATCTGCATCTACATTCTCATCTGCATCCAAATCCCACCCACATTCCACAGGCTCTCTGGACCTACATCCACATTTACATTTGCATCCTGCACTGACTGCATCCTGCTCCCTGCACCTGCCTTCTCCTCCTGCATCCTGGATCCTGTACTTGCACCTGCACCCTCTAGCCAGCAGCCACACTCTGCAGCTGCCTCCACATCCCCCTCCCCACACCTGCACTTGCATCCTACATCCCACATCTGCATCCTGCATCCCACAACAGCATTCTGCAGCTGCATCCCATTTCTCCCCCACTGCTTCCATGCCTCCCATTTGATCCAGCAGCACCTGCACCCCATGTTCCCATCTGAACCCAAACCCCACCTTGGCAACCAGAACCTGCACTTCTGTCCACAGCCACATCCACACTCCATATCCTGCATGATGGGATTTGGCCTTTCTTGCACTTTTCAACACATGGCCATGGGGCTGGGGGCAAAGCCTGGCTTTTGGGGGACACATGGGTCCCAGGTGCCCATGAGGTACCTGCTCAGCTGTCAGCAATGGCTCCTCGTTGATGCCTGAGTCCTGCTCACTCCTCTCAGTGAGCTCCTCCTCCTCCTCCTCCTTCCCGCCGAGCTGCAGGAGACACAGGCTGGGAGGTCTCGATGGCACTGCAGGCATGGCCTGGCACAGGCATGGCCCCAGCATGGACACAGGCACAGCCCCGGCCCTGGCACGGGGAGAGCCACCAGGGAACCCCAGCTCAGGGGGACATGCTGCAGGAGGTTGGCACGGGGAGGCATCGGATGGGGATACCAGATGGAGAGATGACACTGGATGGGGAGATGCTGGATGGGGGAGATGTTGGATAGGGATGTTGGATGGGGGGGAGATGTTGGACAGAGACACCAGATGGAGTTGGGTGGCTATGTTGGATGAGGCTTTGGACAGGGACACTGGATAGGGATACTGGACACAGAGATGATGAACAGGGAAGCACTGGATGGGGAGGCGTTGCAACGAGATGGATAGAGATGCTGGATAGGGAGACACCGGATGGTGAGTTGTTAGGTGGAGACACTGGACTGGGAAGAAGACAGGGAGAAGCACAGGTCTGTTGGATGGAGAGATGTTTTAGTAAGTGTATTGCATGGGGAGGTGTTGGAGCGGCTGGATGGTGATGCTGGGGATGTTGGATGGAGAGACGATGGATGATGGAGCTGAATAGAGAGGGAGAGGTCCCATGGAGACACTGGGTGGGGACAAGAGACAGGGAGATGGCAGAGGGGAATGCTGAATAGGGAAAGGATGGATGGAGATGCAAGATGGAGATGTTGGATGAGGAGTTATATTCCTTTTTACTACCTTTCACAGTCTATTTTGCCTTTTGCAGAGAAAATAAGCCAAGACAGTTACCTTCTCTTTCCCCTTTAACAACAGGCTGCGTTACATCCAAAAGGGTTAAATTGCATAGATTTTGGGGCATTTTTACAACTCCAAACACAGCTACTGACAGCACAAACACACTACAACGATGAAAACACTACTTTGTATGCCCCAAAATACTCCACTCCACCCCTGACTTGGAGGCAAACTGGCAAAGCAAACACTTAATCTTGCCCATTTCAGTGTGATTTCACCCTAAAATGTGGACACTCCCTGCATTGGTGCTGTGGCACCCCAAAAATACAACTTTTGGGATAGACTGCAGTGCCTCAATGGCTACTGAGCCATGGAGCTGATTGACAGCTGTCGGGGGGGGTCATGTGGGGTCAGGGGGATCTGGGGAAGCTGAGGGGAGGCCACAGTCATACCTGGGAGTCAGTGCTGTCAGAGGCTTCAGTCCCAGGGAGCAGCCATGGCTGGGGGGAGCTCCGGGGGGCAAAGCCATCGGTGAGGGCATCCCAGACCCTGCAGGGAGGTGGGTGGTGAGTGATGATCCCAAAATGTTGCCCCTCAGAAAGCCAAAAATGGCATGCCAAAATGCCTCAGAACATCCCAAAACGCAGCCCCAGAAACAACCTGAAATACCTCCAAAAAATCCCAAAACACCACTGAGATGTGTGAAACACACAAAAACACCCCAAATGATGTCCCAGTAGACTCAAATGCTGCCCTAGGAGACCTCAAAGATTCTCGCGGTACCGTCATGAGGTATTGCCCCAAAATACACCGAGGAATCCCAAAATGCTGCTCCAGGACTTCAGATGCCCCCAAATGTCATTCTGAAATGCTGCCATCAAAACACCCCCTAAAAGGCCACTGCAATGTCCCAAAATGTTCCAGATGCCCCGAAAGACCACCCTGAAATGCCCCAAAATGCCACCCAAAAATATCACCATAATGCCCTGAAGTGTCCCAAAACACTGCCCCAAAGCCCTAAGAACCTCTGAAAGGCCTCAAAATACCTCAAAATGCTGCCCTGGAACACCCCAAAATGTCCCCAAATGTATTTCTGAAATACCCCAAAACACCCCTGAAGGTCCCAGAGCTTCAAAATGCCACCCTGAAATGCTCCAGCCACCCAAAAAAACCGTCTGAAATGCCCCAAAGATTCCAAAATGTCACTTTTAAACACCCTAAAAAAGCACTTTCAAATACCCTAAAATGCTTTCCTGAAATACTGACCAAAACACTCCAAAATACCCCAAAACACTCCTCCAGAACATCCTGAAACATCTCAAAATGCAGACCCCAAACCTCACCCCGAAAAGCTTGTCAATGCCTCAAAATACTGCCCTGACATGCCAAAATGTCACTGTCAAATACCACAAAATGCTGCTTTGAAACATTGCCCAGAAACCCCTTAAAATGCCTCAAAAATCTGCTCTGCTACCCCAAGAAACACTCCAAAACCCCACCACGATGCTCCAGAACATCCCTCAATTGCTCAATACCCCAAAAGCCTCAAAACTGTCCAAAATACTGCCCGGGAACCTGCTGAAAAGCCTCACAATGCAGTCACAACACCCCAAAAATGCCACCCTGAAACATCCCACATTGTCCCCTAGAGACACCCCTGAAACACCCCAAAGCCACCCCAAATCTGCCCTGAAACACCCAAAAGATGTCCCTGGAATATCCAAAAATGCTGCTCAGAAATATTCCCCAGAACAGCCCAAAATATCCCAAAACCTGCTGTGATGCCTTGATATGTTCCAAAACACCTCAAACTTCCTCAAACAAATGTCCTCAAACACCTCAAGTCCTGAAACACCTGCAACTCCCCTCAGACTTCACCTGATATCCTAAAATGCATCAGAATGCATTCTGATCAGGGACCAAAATGTCCCAATTTCACCTGAAAGAAGGTGACCAGGGGAGGGGGCAGAGAGGGGGAAAATGCAGGGGAAAAGAGAGAGAAAAGTGGGGAAAATGTTTTAAAAGTTTGAAAAAGTGAAAAAGAGGAAAAAATTGGTGAAAGAGTGGAAAAAGAAGGGGGAAAGGGGAAAATGTGAATAAAAAGTGAAAAAAAAAGTAAAAAAGATGGAAAAGGGGAGAAAGAGGAGAAAGCAGAAAGAGGTGGGAAAGAGAAAAAGGAGGAGGGAAAGGGGGAATACAGAGCAGAAAAGAGAAAAATGGGTAAGGAAGAAGATAGAGAAAAAGGGAAAGAAGGAAAGTGGGGAAAAGTGGGGGAAAGGAAATGTGGGTAAAAGGGAAAAAAATGAGAAAGGGAAAAGAAGGATAAAGGGGGAATGGAGAAAGAGGAGAAAAAGGGGGAGAAATGGAAAGAGGGGAAAATGCA